CACTGTTTCAGTCACACTGTGTTCGTTCAGTGCTATGTTATTATGAAGGCTAGTTCCTTATGTTCTTGTGGAAAATGAGACAATAACTTCCAACCTGACAGTATTTCAGTTAGTTTCTCTGCTTTTATTAACAAGCATATAATATTAGTTGGCAAAACACCAGATACAAGCTTCACTATCATAAAATCAAAACATTAAGCAATAATCCCAAAAGGCTTCAGACTAGCCACCAATTGTACAAAAACTACACAGCAACACAAAGCATAAAAAATTGTAAACTTTCAAATGAAGCTAAGCCAAAAATACGGGTTTACACTGTGACAGTTCCAGAATCTTTATTATGCCACATATGAGGATAAAGGCTTAGTGGTTGCACTGTCTTATTGTCCCTTAACCATAAAACAATCTTGTTGCAGAAGGAAAGAACAAATTCTGCTTTAGTCCAGATAAGTCACTTGAATTAAAGATTCCATTAAACCAATGCTTTGAGTTTCAAATAAAAATAAAATTAAAAAAAAACCCTGCAACATCAGTATAAAAAAATCAGGGCTCCTTCCTTCAGCCACATCTAACCATTTGCATGAACGATCCCACTGGCTTCTGTGGAACCATCCAGGTTATTAGAAAAGTTACCAATAGAAGTGTTCATAGAACTGGACATTTAGTTCCTACCCTACCACTAGGATCTAGACAAGTCATTGCAGCTTCAAAAGATTTCCAAGAAGCCCTAAGGATGATCAAACATGGATCAAATGGTAGGACCAGAGCTTTAAATTGTATATAAATAAACCATAACTCCAGAGTAAAACATTACTGTTGACTTGCCACAAGACACAAGTTCTTAGAAAGTGTTTGTACTGATTGTAAGTTTTGATTAAAGCAGAGATTGAAGCATTGTTCCATGTTCCATAACATTGTTCTCTCTGCAACTTTTTACTTCAACAACAGATCTCAGGACCTTACTTACAGTTAATTATATCTTATGTAGAGATTCTAGTGAATGGGACAAATTTTTGACCTGTTATCAACTTTAGGCAGACTAACTGAAGTGTAGGTTGCATTATCATTTGCAGTGAAAACATCCAAACTGAAGTGATTACCTGAGGAAATACAGAAACTTGACTTTTCTGTACAGTCCAGCCTTCTGTACAAAATGCATTTTAAGTACTTAAGATTCATCTCACTGATGTACAGACTGGTTGGCTTTTTCCTATTATATTTAGCTCAATGGTAAGATGCATAATGCTGTAAAATAGGCTAGCTGTATGGTTATATTTATCATCCAGTAAAAAAACCTCAATGAATCTCCTAGGACTAACTGTGTTGTTATAAAGACAGTAAGAGCCAGATAAGCTTTCAAAGGCTCATAGCCTATTGGAAAAAAATAGCACCATCATAGTTGTAGTCTGATATTTTTTATGGTCCCATATGCCCAGAGGTGATAGTGTTGTGTATAATATTGCACAACCAATAAAAATAAATATTCCCAGGTTTGATGGTACACAAACATACCAGACATAACAATGGCACAAAACATTTTCAGATAGGCTGCAAGTCTTGCCAATTGCTTCCACAACTCACATTAAGGTTTCCTGCAAGATCATTTATTTTAAAATATTGCTAACACATAGTTCTTGTACTTACACAAATTTAAGTCCCACCTTTCACTCTTAAAATAAAAAAGGAACAAATCAAACACAACACCTCCCTCAAATAAAAGCCCCAAATAAAACCCCATTTGAACAAGTGAGAAAAGCCATCTACATTGCTTTTAAATTTAACAGTTAAGTAGATGCTCATTTACAACTTAAACATATGCCTAATAAATGCATGTTTGAAACCTATTGCACAAAAGCATAAGTAATGCTCCTTATCCATACAAAACAAAAACATACAGATAAAAGCTACGTAAACTCAATGTAAAAGGAAGAAGCTTGTAAAAACATCTCATAGTTTCATTTTATATGCCCGTAAATAAAGCTGGACCACTGAAACCAAAAATACTTGGATGGTAAAATAAGACAGAAGGCTTAAAATAGAATAAATAATTTCATAAAGTTAAAATCTAAAACCCCAAATCTTATTTAAATTCAGTATTATATATTCTATCTGAATTCTCTATTTTTAATGAAACATATTTAAGGAGATTCTGAGCCTGGGTGATGCATCAGTCTCATTGCTGCTGAGGATAACACAACAAGATACTTCTTTACTGCAATTATTTACCAGCATAAGCACTTGTGAAAACTAATTCACAGTAATGGCTTCTTCAGGAAAGCCAAAATAAACTAACATGATCACATGAAGACTAAGAGATACCTATGCTGAGTCCAACTTTTAGTCCAACTTTGAACAGTATCAGAGTTCTTTTACCCAGTGTAATCTTGATATAAATTACCTGTCTCTTAAGCTTCACAGAAGTGAAACACAGCTCTGTAACCCAAAGGAGACCCTGCTCTGACTTCAATTCAATTGCATTGTAGTCTTTTAGTAAGGCTAAAGGAAATTTTAAACATATGGTCCAAACACAGTCACATCCCTCCTGAGGGCAAGAGTTTCTGTACCAAAGATGTCGTGACATGTGATTCAGAAAAATAACTGGGTGGTTTTGGGTTTTTGTTTTGTTTTGTTTTACTGGTGAGGTTTTATCAGATTAAACATATTGCAAAAACAGTTACACACAATTGTGAGGAAAAAAACCTAACCAAACAAGAAGAGCTGTAGTTATTAATACTGTCTTGAATTTATGTATCTGTAGAGGTATAAACAGAGGTTTCAATATATTGATAGCACCATAAGGAATTCAAGTGATTATAAAGATTGTTATAAACTTATGTATGTTCTGTACTATAGATTGTTACAGCAAGAGATAAATTTGAAAAGCTTCTGAATTTGCATGTTCGTAACTAATTTTTCCGTTGCACAAGTACACAAAGCCCCAATGCAGTTTAACAGCACTGCATCAATATCTAGTCACACAAAAAGCTTTTGCAGTACACACACTCTGAGGTAGACAGATCTCACATATATATATATATATATATACACACACATATATATATATATATATATATTTGGTTTTATATATATATCTATCCTGATTAAGGCGGTTAATCAGAATGCTGTCTGGCAGCTTTAATTTTATGTCTACATCAGGTACAGCCAGTATCTGTACAGCCAGTGTCTGTATACTGAGAGTGCACAGAGAGTGGACACATAGCCCTGTTCACATTCTCTGTGCCTCAGTGGCTTAAGCTGGTCCCTTATTTACACTAGGACAGTAAAAACCACATAAACAGCTCCAGAATGGCCCAGTATGTCAGTTTGTGTATGCATCCATACCACCTGCATTCACTGTTTCATGAAAAAAACCCATAAAAATGGTAGACCCATGATCTCATTTGTTCTCTTCTGCCAGTTCAAGTAATGTTAAAGACAGAAAAAAAAGCTAAAGTACATATATGTGAGTCCACAAACAGTAAGACAAAACCACAGCCAAGTTCAATTCCAGTGCTCATATGCATGTACACACCCCACCCCCGACACAAACCCATCCAGCTGGGTGTCTGGATGTGGAGCTCTGCGTAACCCAAACATTCAAAAGTAGCTATCCCATACCCTCATCTGTAAGGACAGCAGCACTGCTTGGCCTTTGTGTGGCTCTCCTTTCCATCTCCACAGTTCAGTAGGGTCCCTTTCATTCTCTGCTCACAAACTTTTTGATTTCCTTCCCATTCACATCTGTGACTAATTAAAAATGAGCAACCCTGTTTTCAAAGGTACACACGAGTTGGAGCATCCCTTCTGCAGTAGCAGAGGTGACAAAGGAGGACTGAAGACTCCAAAGAAAGGAATAATGGGACACATGTTGAGGAATGCAGTGCTTTGAAAACTCAAGAAGAGGAAGAGGATTTAAAATGTTTGGATAAACCTCTTGCAGTGTCAGCTTCCTGGTAGCAGAAGAGGGGAAGGAGCACAGCTAGAGGAAGCAGGGCAGTTACAGGCAAACTTATTTTCTTATCCAAAGACAATTTATCAAGAAATAACAGGGTTTAATAATGGGAATAGCAAATACCATTTTCAGCCAACTGGAACACTCTTCCAAAAGTTAAAACATTAACTATCGCCAGCTGCCAATAGTATGGCATAGCCTGTTTTCAATTACTTGACACTTGTGCCAGACAAATATGCTCACAATCATACTATATATGCTGTACTGTATACAGCTTGCAGAAATCACTTTCAACTACTCTTTTTAGAAAGCCAACTATCTCAAAAAGCCTTAGAAAAAGTGCAGTGAACCCTGCTAAGTGCTATTGAGGATGCATTCTATAACATATATATATGTGTGTACAGTGTATGCACACATACATACATGCACGTCTATTACCTTGCATACGTTGGGTTGATGCAAGCAAAATTTTTCATTAAGGCCAGAGGTGCTAAAGTAAGCTTGTCTGACATCCCGCCCCCCCCCCCGCCCCCAAGACAGCTGGGAATTGCACTAAAGAAAATGCTCTAGTTTCATAAGAAAACAGGTAAAGGAAATATACAGCTGCTCACAATAATCTGAGAAATTTTTCATCATGAAATGAAAACCTGCAACATCACCCAAAGTTGTACAAGAGCCTCTAGTGAGAGCAGATTCTAAATTAAAAACTGATTTCTGCAAGCCATCACTATGTAGGAAATGTTTATTTTTCAAAAAGTTCACAAATCTGGCACTTTTGATTATTTGTCATTACGTGGTGCAATTTATGCCACAGCAATATACCAGGGCACATTAAAATCTGCTGAAATTATTTCTATTACCAAATCAACATGCATAGGGGAGTATCAAAACTTTACTAAAATAAAAGTTGAGGGACAGCAACAATTGGGAAAAAATTACAAACTTAATGGTTTCCCAGATTTTCAGAAGTTTTCAATGCAGCATAATAAATTATCACCAGTCACTGTATCATTAGGTATCTTCACTGCTCTACAGAATAACTTGAATAAAGCCAATGCAATCAGGCATACTATATAAGACAGTATCATTTTGCAAAAATATAGTTTTTAAAGATTCAGAATGTGAAAAGTAACTAAATGCAACTTGGTGTCAAAAGCAACATTTTTAAATCACCCCACAACATTCTAACCTGTTTCTGTGTAACTGTAAGACATAAATCAGGCTGAGCTACATGGAACTGTGAAGTGTTTTCAGTATCTGTAAACTTAGTGCTGGTAGTGTCTTGTTGAGTTGAGACTTCTTTCTTCCGTACAAAAAAAGTATAAATATTTTCTGTCCATAAATCTAGGTAACACATGCCTAGAACAAATATTCAGAAGGACAGTCTGCAATGAAAGCCCTAAAGTCTTCCAAAATTATTCAGCTGGTTTGTGTCATGTGATTAGTGATGCACTAAGAAGGTGCCAGATGATAGTCTCTGCAAAAAACTCTGTCCAGAAGGACAATAAAGTTCTCTTACAGCAAGTCCATTTTGGGTCTGTAATGCAGCAGTAGAGGTGCTTTCTGCAAGACAGAAATACCAGATAAGTTAAGAAACAAAACCAGATCTAGTCTGTTCAGTAGGCAAAACTAGTTTCATAAACTAAAGCTTAAATGAACCATCAGAGTAACTATCTGACCTGTCAAAATTTCACCAAGAGAAAGACAAGATGCAATTTCAATTGTGGAGCTCAAAAAAAGAGCTCCTTTCTCTTTTGTCTCAGGAGCCGATCACCTTAAGATCAGTTCTACCAGGTCTCTTTAACTTGGAAAACCCACTCCCAGTAAGGAATAAATACAGATGTCTAGAAAGCAGCCTAAGATCACATGATAGTCACACTTGATTCATCTTCTGTGAATGCATCCATTGCTTTTTTATGTATAGGTAAACTTCTAACATCCACATTGTCCTGCACCAAGCAGTTCTGTGTCTCATGTAAAGAATTTCTCCTTTTTTGTTCTAGACCTCCCATCTCCCAGTTTCATTTTACATCCCCCACCTGTTTCACTTGAGAAGGCAGTTTACAGTTCCCCTTTCTATGTGACTCACAATTGCACAGACTTCCATGATAAAGGTAAACAGCAGACAACAGATCACATCAATTTGACGCTCCTGTTTGGTCCTTCCCCCCCCCCTCAAATTCCCTAACATTTGTTTTGTATCCTTTTATATTTACCTGCATTGAGCTTAAGGTGCTTACTAATCACTTGACAGGCAGAACTGTAAAGGCTTGCTTCAATCTTTTGTCATCAGTCTGTCTTCACTATCCTAAATAACCACAGTGTTGTCAGTGCACTGTTACTGCACTAACTCAAATCCCTTTCCAGGGATTCACGAACATCATATGAAACAGATTCTAGTAGGGTTCCACTCGTGACCTCTCTGCATTTCAAAGCCTGACCATTGACTTCTATCCTGTGACTCTTATACAAGTCAATTATTTTTCTACACAAAGACAGAAAAACACTTCCCTACTCCCATCTGCACCTTTTCTATATCTACATCCAAAGCCATCAAGTGGTTCTACCTCAGTGTACACTGTAAGCTTGGTCTGTGCTGCTTGTCCATTATGAATACTAACTCCTAGTTCAAATATCCCCAAATAGTCATACACTGACTATGCAGTTGTAACCTGCCTCCTAAGTGTTTAATTTTGTAATTCATTCTTACCCCCATTTCACTTGAGCTGCTTTCATTAGTGTGATAACTAATACTCAGAATGAATGGCCTACTGTTTACTCTTCAGTTTCAATGACATTATTTAAAGAAACCACACTAAGCACTTCAAAAATGTGCATTTTTAACCAGCCTTGCTTTTGCCTACTAAATGCTGCTAGAAGTTTCCTTAACCAAGGCAAACAAACATTGCAATTACTGCCACTCCTTTAGAAGTAGAACAGTCTTATCAAGCTGCAGAAGAGAACTGTGTTGAAAATTTCTGCATCACAATCAATTTCCCCACCTACATGGATTAAAACCAGTTTTACCTGAAATAGCTACAAATACTTTCATGTGGCTTCCACTTCCTTTGCCACACTTGAGAGCAATTTGACAATTGTTGAAGCGTTCCCTTTTCCCTTACAATTTAACACTTACTTCCCCCTTTCCTTCATTTTCTTGGAAACAAAATGAATACCTGGTGTTTAAGGGTGCTGTATTAGATCTTTATTAAAGTATCTTTTTATTGAGTTTGCAGTTACTGCCGTATAGTTCCAAATGATGCCTATTTTATAAACATTCTATTTGGCCACTTCATGATTTACTTGGAGCCACTGTGCCATACCTTAAATCTCCATCTAGTAACAACTACAAACTTGAGCGTGTGGTCCTTGCCAAGAATCTCTTCATTGCATAATATGTCCAGCTGACAAAACAAAGATGACAGTTAATTCATTGGTTCATAGCACATGAAAACGACATATTTCAGGTAATACTACAAATGTTTGACAAGACTTCTTTTCTCTTCAGACATTGGAACTGTTCTTCTTGAAGCTGCTCTGCAGACAAAAACAGTTATCAGAAAAGAAAAGAGAATGTCTTTTTTCAACAAAAGGTGCTGAAAGATGTCTGCGCCTGCTTAGGAAATATTGCATGAACTGGACTTAACTGATTTAGCTTCCCAAGCAGTACTACTGACCTTTCCTGAAAGCTTTACATGCTTTTAAAAAACCCCAATAAAATGTTCACTAAGACAGAATTCACAAATCCCAAAGACAGTTCTGTTATTTGACAAACTATGAAACACCAGCCAGGTGGCTTACTGTCTGCCACCTCCTTCATATACCGTATTTATGGATTTTTTGCAGATACTTAGTAGTAATTTTCAGTTTCCTATCTCAGTGTTGAAAGAACTTGGTATTAGAAAGAAACAGTGAAGATATAAACATAAAAACATGAGGATCATATGACTACTAATCAGCTGAACTACAATAGCTGAACATGAATTAAAATAGGGAACATGCATGGAAACAGTAAGTTTCACCAAGGTGGAACAACACTTTACCGCACGACCTAGAAAGGCCTGAATGTGCATGCAGTCCACTTACATGGTTTACCTAATTGGCAGTAACTCAAACCTGCAATAGCCTACAGCAATCAGCCAAGTGCCCACAAGCTTAAATCCTTGTACTATGTATCCATCACTTGGTACTGGTAGACTGATTACACCACAATTAATGTATTCTAAGCAGGTAGGGAGGGATAGCAAAGGAATAAAGAGTAGTCCTGAAAGTTTGTTGCTTCAGTGAAAGCCAAGCAGGATGTTAAATTACAGACTGGCACAGTGGAATGGAGGGCCTACACACAGCACTCCACCCCCGCCCCCAAGAGACACACCCACAGAGACACACCCACACACCCCCCCTCAAAATATCCCCTTTTGAACAGCAATGGTAGCTATGCTGCTGCTGCACTTTAGCCAGGTCTCAACCACTTCCAAGCCAGCTGACAACAAGACAGGAAGACTAACAGAGTTTGAAGACATACTCCAACCATAAGACAAGAGTGTTGGTTTGAAGCATATGAAAGCCAGGAAGGAATAGTGATACAGATGCACATTGGCTGTTGAAAAGTTTGAGCAGAAAGGTGTTAGCGCATTGGACTGGAAAGCAGATGACTTGATTTGAATTAAAAGTTTTAACAAAATTCAGTGGATCACTGACATAATGTGGGATTTGGAGAAGTCAAGCTGAAAGTCAACTGAGATGCCTACAGACTGTGACCAAGACCCAGAAAAGTGGTACACAGAGGCTGCAGTCATATGTTTGCCACTGTTAATTTTGAATCTGAACTAGGAGGAGTGCAAAGAATTGCCTTTCTTTCTGTAGTTTTTACTACAAATTCTTCCCACGATTCCAAGTATTCCCTGCAAAGGAAGGGAAGAGTAGGTATCTGATAACACTCTGGTCACTGTAGGCAGTAACTTCTGGTTGGGCTTCACTAAGAGCATATAGTTGTGAACAAAATAGTTGTGGTGATGTCTCTTAAGCTGGGTTTCTGTAGTGTTAAAGTGTTTGTTACTGCCTGTCCCTTGCACTGAGTGAAATCTCTGAAAGGGTGGGGTATACCTGACTACAAGCAGTCAAACAAACGACCTTGACATTTCAGCACATGTGGAAGCACATAACCAGTCTTTTAGCTCAACTATTTATACATGGGCATGAAAAGATGCACCAAAATTAAGCGGCAAGTCCTGTATAGGCCCAAGAAAGGACAAAAATATAACATTACATAACGTATAATTCAAGAAACAGTGTATGCCTCTGTTTTCTGTAAATAAAATCAGACTAAAAGACATTCCTTTGCAAAGGAACAATCCCACATTTTTTGTAAGGTTTTTATATCTGCAAAATAATTTAAAAAAAACTGAAATATTACCTCATTAAAAGAAGACAGGTTAAGTTTTTTGGCAATGAACTTCTTTAGATGCAAAACTGTTGCTTGTGCTGAGCAACGAATCCATTTTCTTTTCAATCCACGCAATTTGCTGCTATTGCATTCCAAGCAGATGCTTACCTTCAGGAAAAAGCAAACAGTCAGAGTTGGCTGGAACAATTTTCTGCAGTCCTCATTATGTATTCAATATGTATTTTTTGTTAATACAACAAAGTGAAAAAGTACAGTACTAGTATTCCTTAAACTGAAATGCCTGTAGTCCTATTAAAAAAAAAAATTTCTAACATCTTGCCAGTTTAGGGATAAGCACTACTGTAATAAAAACAGGCCTAGGCAAAAAAGTTCAAGAAAGAATTTTTGATGTTGGAACAACACTGCTCCAGTCCAAATTCACAGGCTGCCAATAGCTCAAGAGAACCCTGCGATAAACAGTAAGAATACTGTTGCCAGTTTTTAATAATTGCTTCTAACGTATCTTCTTGCTTTTAATGCAACTGCTAAATCCAGCTTAAAATAGAATTTTAACACATTTAAAAGATAATTTAAAGTCAAAAAAGAACAGACACAAATGAGATAACAATCTAATCCCCCCAAAAGTCTCTCCAATTTCTATGCTTCAATTCTAATTTTTTTTCTCATCCAGCTACTCATTACTTAGTCTACGCTCCTTGTGATGATTTACTTTATGAACTAAGAGGATCTAGTACTAAGCACAATTCCTTTGAAGGTTCCCTTACATTATAATGGAAAAGAAAATTAATCCAAGTTTAATTTACTCTGGACAAACATAACAGGAAAATATAAAAGGGATAGTTCATTTATCCCAAAAGGAGTTTACACTTTCAAACATGTTTTGTGTTTAAAACTTAACAGTGAACTTCCTGGCTTTCATTCTGTTTTTATGGTATAGGGCTATCATTGTCTTAGTATTAGGGGTTTAAAACAAAATAAATAGCAAGTTAGTAAAAGTGCAAAGGTTTTATGCATAAGTATTGATACACATTCAGCTCTATGTATTACAGTAACACTGGGATACACTCCCTCACACAAATATCTTTAACATATTCTCCATTCCTGCCAAAACCCAAAGATGAAACTCGTAGTTACACGAAAGCATTGGGCAACACTGCATCTTGTTTGTATCAGAGGTCAGAAAAAGTAGCTTGAAGCAGTTATTTTTCTTCTCTGTTAGCTTACCAAAGTAGGAAAGCTAAAAAAGCAAACTAAAACAGAAACACGCCCTATGAGCTCACCTGTTCGTCACTTCGGTGGTAATCATTATCTTCTTCCTGTTTTTCCTCTGAAGTTTCTTTGTTTGAATTTTCATCTGTTTTAGTTTCACCTTAGATAAGAAACCAGATATATGGGTAATACTCAGCAGCAGTTTATAATGCTAATCTGATTAAAACAGCACAGTTCAGGACTGCAATATAGAATTAAAATTTGCTTTTCCCAAATTGTGCTTATCTGCTTAGGCAACACTAGCTGCCAACAGCCCCAAGCATGAAAGAGAACAATACATACAGAGCACAACCTTCAGTTCAAATGCTAGCAGCCCAGAAGCTGGGTAATTTCACAGAGTCCCCACGTAGACACTACTACAGAGATCTCCTTTGCCAAGAATAATATGCTACGACCAGCTAAAAAGAAAGATTCTGTGCACAAATAAGGGACAAAGCAACAATCCTACACTCACTGTATTGTGCAGTGTTACAAAAATACTGTGATTGTAATAAACCAACTAAGCACATACCTCCAACAGGTCTGTTCAACAATTACTAGCTGTCACCCACCCAAGACAGAATAAATAAAGGACCATTTACCATTTCGATGGGAATCTAGGTGCTGTTTTGTAGAACATGTCTCCCCTTTGATGTCCCCTGGAACTTCCATGCCCAGTTTGTGATAAAACTCCCTTTGCTTTTTCATTTCCGCTGTTTAAAATTGTAAATATTAATCCCTGTAATAAAGTTCTAATGCAATATTTACGAAGTTATTCCAAATCCCTTCCCTCTTAAGTGAAACAGGCTTGCCAACAAGTAGTGGTATTGTCAGTATTTACTACTCTTCCATCTCTGCTATTGTATCAAGTCATGCCTCATCTTACTTTTCAGAGTTAGAATACTATAAAAGTCATCTGTATAGCTACTGTTACAGCATTCCTATGAGAACGAAACAGTATTTAAAATACATACCTTATTTTGAATCCATTCCACAATATTTTACTCAAAATTTTTTGAATTTTTATTTATAGTTCTGATTTCCAATATGCTAGAAATAATTTTTAATCTATTTAATCTTACTGATGTTGGAGAATGTTCTGGTTTTGCAGCCTAAATGGATTAAAATACTCTTATTTAAATGACAGCTGTAACATACACTAAGACAAAAAATTACTGAGCAGTTACTACAAAGTACTTCTTTAGTTGAACAGGTCCAGTCTCAAAACAGATTATGAAAACACAAACTGAAAGTTACCTGCTAAGAAAGGACTCGCACAGTACCAGAAGCTTCACTGAAACTAAAAGCTGTTCTGCATGACACTCTACCTCTGAGAATTCTAGAAAGCCGGCACAGCATGTTTAAGTATACAGTCTAACAAGAATAAACGAGAGTTACAGTGTGCCAACATTCAAAATCTGAACTACTATTCTGCTGTACATAATATTACTATTTGAAGAAATATCCCATCTTTCCTCCCCCTACTCCCACCCCCAATTACTGCTAGTACAGGTATGAAGTTAAATTAATCACTAGAAATGACACAAACAAAGGAATATAGTTTTCTGTTGTATTTTTCCTCAGTTCCCCACGCCACTTTCATCATCCAAAACTTTTTTTTTTGGTGTTAAACAAGTTTGTGCAAAACGACCTCTAAAACAGGTCATACCACAACTTACCTTCTTGGAGGCCTGGCACAAGTTTGTAAACAATATCCTGCATTGTTCTGTCATGACTAGCAAGAAAAAAACAAAATCAAAAGTTTAAGTCGACCATCTTGATTCAAAACATTTCTCTTAAAAAAATTTCCAGTACTAAATTGATGTAAAAATCTCTAAATTCACCTACGAAGAATTTTCAAATCAGTATTTATCTCAAACAAGAAAGTAACATGAAACAAATGATGAAAAAATACAGGCTAAGACAGAAACCAAATGGAACTTTGAGGAAGAACAGTCTTGGATGCGTAAAGGATGATGTCCCATGGAACATGGCCTCCTGCATCAAGGCAAGTATGTCGCTAATGACCTCAAAATTCTTTCACAACTTTGAAGTAAATTCATTTTTATTACAAAAGAACCAAAGATAGTCTGTTTCTTACCCCTACAAACTCATCTCTCACATTTTTAGATTACTTAGTTATCTTTACTAGGCTTCTCCAAAACCGCAAGAAAACAGTTCACAGAAAAAGACCACAACAATAACATTTTACTTTGCTCATAAAAGCTAACATTTTAACTGTAAGCAACACTATGTAGCTCAGAAGCATGTATAGGTAGTGTGGCTCAAACAGAAGAAAGGTAATAATCTCACTGGAACTGAAGTAGCAGGACTGGTTAAGATTCCAAACTTTAACTCCCAGCTCACCTAGACAAAATTCCGGTTTAGTCTAAAATAAGTCACTGTCTGAAAGAAACAAAATATTACCCTAAATTCCAATTGGTAAATAAAATCAGAAACATTTCAAATGTCTGTCTTGGCTCTTGCAAGGTCATTACTCAAATTGAGCTTGCAATACCAAATCCTGAATCTGACTTAAACAGGAGAGGAGGCTTACAAGAGTAGTCTCAGGCTTTTCATCACCTGACATGAGCACTGCACGGCAGTGGAGACCAGTGACCAAGTACAGAAATGGTAGCAAATCAAAAGATTTACAATCGACCATTACAATCTTTTAAGTAGCACTACAAGAAGAATCAAAATATCGTTAAGTCTAAATCCATGTAATTTTAACCACTAGCAATCCCATTTGCACAGGCTGCCATTTTCAAGTGTCACATCTTCAAAAATATTTCAACATAAATAAGTAAATCAGCCATCACTATTAGGTCAGAAGTGAGAATTTAACAGCATTCAGAAACGTGAAACAGGAGACACATTTGGCTTCCTGATTTTGCAGATGGAGATGAACAGGAGTGCAAAATCTACATTCTAAAACACATCGAGAAAACTCCTGTCAATTCCTGTTATGTATATATATATATATATAAAAATCCATATAATATCCATTATGTATATAAAAATCCATATAATATTATATATAAAATTATAATATATTATATTTATAAACATAAAATATATTATGTCTATAAAAATCTAAAAATATTATATCTATCTATCTATCTCCAGAAGTAGGACGGGCAAAGGCTGTTTCAGTCTTGAAGGGGCAGTATTTTATAACTAGTTCAGGCAAAATACTTCCTTTGAAGTGTATTCAATGACCAAAACCAAGTAGCAAATTTCTTTCTAGCTGTTCTCAACTTGATGCTGTTTCCTGGCCCTTTTTGGCACAGGAAACAAGCTTCTGAACAAAGGCACTGGTGTATTCCTGTACCTTTACAGAAGACAAACTCTTAAATGTCATTTATTCATTCTTGCATATTGGCACCTACTTGTCCCTTCAATGCATACATTCATACGGTGTATTATCAGCACATCATATAATGCATTATCAGTGTGCACTATTATTCTTCAAATGCAGAGTTGGCATAACTAGTTTCAGGCTCCTGAATGAGGATCAGCTTGAGCAATGTGTGTATAGACACTGACAGTTTTCTGCAAGTGAAGCGAAATCAGACTTATTTTCTTATAAGCACTGCTTCAGAAGTTGTTACAGAAGTAAGAAAGGCACAGTTTTAAAAGTGCCACAAATGAAGCCAAACTCCTTATAAAGGCAGGCAAAACACTACTTGATATGCAACAGCTAGTACAAACACAATCAGAATGGACTATCAGCAAAAGTTACTACAGTTCAGTAAAATGAAAGGAAAGCATAAAGGAAAATAAATGTATTTTTTTGCAAACAAAAGAGAAAACTCACAAAAACACCTTGTTAAAAAGAAAAAAAAAGGGAACTGACAAACAATACCACATCCATGTTAGGTCAGAAAGGGAGAGCCAGGGATCAAAACAGAACAAAGCACAAGATTGTTCCATTCTAGAGATTAAAGCCGCTGGTCTAATATTTTTGCTGCCATATTCTTACCTGTTCCTGTGAACTAAAGACCTTTGAAAGAGATTAACTGAACAATAGAGCTGACAATTTTTTCTCTCATTTCTCTGTCAAACACTGAAAAGTGTTATTCAAGACTAATTATTCTGAGGATTTTGTAAAACTATAATTTCTACAAATGTTTCATTTATGTAATTTTTACGACCCAAGCATACAAAATGAGGAATGACTAAATCCCACTAAAACGCACACCGAAATTAAACAGTAAAATGCATAATTTGCTTGCTCTTAAGTCTGGAAGAAGCCAACAGATGTCATGGAGTTGCAAATTCATAGCAAAGTTTGATTCCATAACTCCTCAATCACCTTCAAACTTCTTTTTAAATGTTTAACATGCTGATAAGCAACTAAGAAAATTTAGGAAAAAGCTGTGTTGTATTAAAGAGGCTGAAACAGTCTAGAGTGAAGCTAGGTGTACTTTTGTTTTCATACTTACCCAATATACTGTAATGGGTGGCTCTGATGTATAACAATTCTACAGGTTGGACAGGTGTTGTTTTCCTCCAAATATTTCACTAGGCAGCTTCTACAGACTGATAACAGAGACATCATAATTAAAAAGAAATAAAAGAAGCATAATGAAAAAAAAATGTTTGTTTTTATATAGCCACAGAAATGCACCTTAATGAAATTCACACAAAGTTAATTTGTTACATCGTATCAGCATGAGGTCTAATCATGCAGGTTTTGAATATCTTTCATTAATGTTCTTGATATAGGGAAGTGATGCACTAGAATTAAAGCATCTGCATCTAGCCAGCGTCTTCCTAATAAAGCATACCACACACAATCCCACTCCAGAATCACTCAGAACTGTGATTTTTAGCAGGTCAACATCACATTACTTGCACCATTCAGCTTGCACTGATGATATTACAGGAACTGCATGCCACTAAGATACTAAGCCTATTTGCTTTAACCATAGCCACAGACAGACGTAAAGTGTATGATTATATGAACACACAAAAAAATTATTCTAAAGTTGGATACTTTTTAAAAGAACAGAAAATTTTCATAAAGTGGATATCCAGCTGCTATTTTAATTCTAACTTTCACAGAGTACACTACAGTTAAGCTTCCACCAGAATAAAAATTACATGGGCACAGATCTTCAATATTTGTAAAAGGTCCTGACAGAAGTTGCTAAAGCAGTCATTCATTATAAAGCTGAATGCTTTTGGAACTGTCCTCATATGCATACATACACACATCCGTATCTCATTCAAAGTAGACTATTCACACTTCCCCTTCTGCCCCCACCTCCCAAAACAGTACTCATAATATATACTACTACATGATACCATGACTCACTTGAAGTTTCAACTCAAAATTGTAGAGGGGGAAAAAAAGGGGGGGGGGGGGGCAGGAAATATCTTTTTCTTAAACAGCAGCAGTTCCTGTAATCTTGGTATTAATGCATTCATTCTTATCACATAAAATGAAAGAATTTCTGTAACTATAGTGCCATCTACCTATCAGTCATGATGACAGTAAAATTAAATAAACACCTGTTCATATCAAAAAAACTATGCAGCAGCAAATAAAGCACAGTACATGTGTGCTTTCTGCACTGTATTTACACACTTAGGATGACTGTATTGTTGATGGTAGAGGTTAGACCAAGCCTCATAGCTTTGCACGCTAAGCACAGATCTCATACAGCAGTCTGTTCCAGTGGAGCGCCAGAGCAGTAGATCCATTTGCAAAAGTGAATCCAAACCCCAGCATTACCAAATCAAGGAAAGCAGAACCTGACAGTGGAAGCAGGGACAGGTATTCTGGGAATAGTATAGCAACATTGCCCAATTGTGTAAAGATGGGGTCAGGAAGACCAAGGCAACGCTGGAGCTGAACTTGGCAAGGGATGCAAAGAATAGTAAGAAGAGCTCCTATAGGTATGTCAGCCAGAAAATGAAGGTCAAAGAAAGTGTACCCTCCTGATGAACATGACTGGCAAACAAGTAACGGACAAGGAGGGGGTTGATGCACTCAACCTTTTTGCTTCGGTCTTCACTGGCAATCTCTCTTCCCAGACCTCTTAAGTAGATGAACCTCAAGTCAGGGACTGGGAGAGCAAAGTCCCTCCCACTGTAAGAGAAGATCAGGTTCATGACCACCTGACGAGATGCATCCCAGAGTCCTGAGAGAACTGGCCAATGTAATTGCCAAGCCACTCTCTGTGATAGTCATGGCAATTAGGTGAGGTCCCTGGTGATCAGAAAAACGGAAACACTGCACACATTTTCATAAAGTGTAGAAGGGAGGACCCTGGGAACTACTGACTACTGCCAGCCTTGCCTCTGTGTCTAGGAATATCATAAAACAGAGCCTATGCTAAGGCACATAGAGGACAGGAAGGTGATTCGAGACAGCCAGCATGGCTGGCTTGCCCACCAAGGGCAAGTCTTGTCTGACCAACGTAGTGGCCTTCTCCAACGGAGTGACTACATCAGTGGACAAGGGAAGAACTTCAGATGTCATCTATCTGAACTTCTGTAAGGCTTTCGACATGGTCCCTCACATAGGATGGACAGACTGGTGGATAAGGAATTGGCTGGATGGTCATTACTAGAGAGTACCGGTCAATGGCTCGATGTTCAGATGGAGATCAGTGATGACTGGTGTCCTTCAGATCTCTACTGGGACCAGTGCTGTTTAGCATCTTCAAGAACAGCATACAGTGGGATTTGAGTGCACCCTCAGCAAGTTTGCAGATGATGCCAAGCTGAATGGTGCTGTTGACACACCTGAGGGACAGGATACCATGCAGAGGGACCTGGACAAGCTCAAGAAGTGTGCCCATGTGACTCTTATGAGGTCCAACAAGGAAAAGGGCAAGGTCCTGCACCCGGGTCAGGGGAACTCCCAGTGTTAATATAGGCTGAGGGATGAAGGGATTGAGAGCAGCCCTGCAGAGAGGGACTTAGGGGTACTCGTGGATGAAAAGCTCGACATGAGCTGGCAATATGCGCTCACTGCCCAGAAGGTCAACTGTATCCTGGGTTGTATAAAAAGAAGCATGTCCAGCAGGGTGAGAGAGGTGATTCTCCCCCTCTACTCTGCTCTCATGACACTCCACCTGGATTACTGCTCAAGCTCTGGAGTCCTCACTACAAGACAGACGTGGACCTGTTGGTGGAGGTCCAGAGGAGGGCCAGAAGAATGATCAGAGGGATGGAACACTTCTCCTATGAGTAAAGGCTCAGAGTGTTGAGGTTGTTTAGCCTGGAGAAAAGAAGGCTACAGGAAGAATTTAGTGCGGCCTTTCAACAATTAAAGGAGGCTTATAAGGAAGATGGGGATGGGCTTTTTAACAGGGCCTGTTGCAACAGAACAAGGGGTAATGTTTTAAACTAAAAGAAGGTAGATTCAGACTAGATGTAAGGAAGAAGTTTTTTATGATCAGGGTGACGAAACACTGGAAGAGGCTACCCAGAGAGGCTGGAGATGCCCCATCCCTGGAAATATTCAAGATCGGGTTAGACAGGGCTCTGGGTAACCTGACATAGTTGAAGATGTACCTGCTTATTGCAGGGGTATTGGACTAGCTGACCTTTAAAGTCCCTTCTAACACAAACCATTCTATACTTCTATGACACCTTCTAAAACAACATCCCATTTCCGTACATCTCCCAGTTTGGACTAGGTATACACCAACTCCTCCTAAACTGAGCTCACCATAAGTCAGCTCAGGTTCTCGCAAGTTTATTAATCTAAGCACAGCATCCAAATAAATGCAACTAGATAGCTCATGGAGGGTGCTACATTCTTCTAGGTTCATTCATTTTTTCACAAGGTTGAGCTGGGATTAATAAACTCTCCTGTAACTGCAAGTCCTAGGAGTATAGGACAGCCAACATGGGAACCATTCTAGTGTCTGAAACTATAGTATTACTAATTTTTTCACCCCCTGGGATTTCCAAAGCCTCCAATCTCTGTCTACCCAGATACCTGGGCACTGATTGTAGGCTTGAACTGACATCTATATTTCCTGGTTACTTTTACAGAGCACTTAATCCTCCCTCATTTTTTAATTTTTGTTTTAACAGTTTCACTCCTCTTGAGTTTTTTAACTTCTGTATCAAGTTCAATAAATACAATTGGTCTTTCATCATCCTTATGAATCCACAAAACAACACCTTTCACAACATATGAAGCTTTCCCTTTCACAATATACAAGGACATAAACACTAATGAAACTCAAATTACAAATGTAAAAGTTTAACAAGACCTGCACAAGTTTGCTAACCTAGAATTCTAATCAAGAAATAGACGTAAACTAGGAAAGACTTAACACTGACTTACTACTAATGAATTTTTTATCTACTGACTTATAGGCCTGTCTGTCACCAACAAACTAAAGATACAGCAAAGAAACAAGTAGGAAAGGAAGCAAAAAAGCTTCTTTTCCCCTGAGTTCTGTTTTACAAAAGAAGTTGGCCCTGTGCCTCCAAAGGACCAACCCTGGTCCTCCAAACGACTGTCACCAAAGAACTCAAGAACTACATTTACTACTCAAGTGAAGAATTTCCAAATGTCTGAAGGACAGGAGACTAGAGAAGAATGAAAAAGAAAAGAAAAATGCACAGTGGTAAGCAGAAACAGAAAGAAAATTCCAAGGTGTGTAATTCGGCAGAGAATTCACTATCTCAGACAGGGCATTTCAGAATAGAGTTTTGCAAAATGTGTCTTATGAGGGGTGCCTGAGGGAACTGGCATTGTTTAGCCTAGTGAAGAGAAGGCTGAGAGGAGACGTTATGGCTCTCTACAACTACCTAAAAGGAAGATGTAGTGCGGCTAGTGTTGGTCTCTTCTCCTAAATTACTAATGACAAGAGAAGAGGAAATGGCCTCAAGTTGCACCAGGGGAGATTTAGATTGGATATTAAGAGAAACTTCTTTACTGAAAGAGTGGTTAGGCATTGGAACAGGCCGCTCAGGGAGGCGGTGGAGTCACCATCCCTGGAGGTGTTCAGAAGACATATAGACGTGGTGCTTAGGGACACAGTGGTGGGCTTGGTAGTGATAGGTTAATGGTTGGACTTGATGATCTTAAAGGTCTTTTCCAACCAAAACGATTCCATGATTCTATTAGCATTAACATACAGAATACAAATGATGCCAACATGTATAAAGTTTTTAAAAAGATGGCTGTGTGCCTTTTCTCAGAAAACTGTAATTCTACAGGATGCACACTGAAGTAGTATTCTGAAAATATAAACAATAATTTTATTGTTTATATTTTTTCTCATTATTACCAAAATAATGGAGGGAGGAGAAGCTAGGAAGCTAGCAAGGACCATTCCCTGGCTTCTGAAGCAGGCACTGCAGCACTGCGGATTAATCTAAAAATTTCCTCCATATGCAGATGTAAGAAATGGTGTAGATGATGTCAGCTGAGGGGTTTTTGTGTGTTTGTGATTCGTTTGTGGGTTTGGTTTTTTTCTTAAAGAACAATGAAAAACTACCCTCTAGCTCTATGTCAGCCATGTTAATTTGTTATAATACTAGTTTTGTGTATAATCTTGTTAATAGCAGCAGTAAAGAATCGGGGCAAAACTAAGTAGAAGTCTAGCTTAAGGATCTCTACACTCCAAAAAGAACACTATGGAAATTAAGATGTGAAAGATGCAGAAAGGACATGAGAATAACCAAAATGACATGGAAGTGTGACAAGATCTATAAATTCATTAAAGCTGATGAACACAACTTCTAAATTAAATACAATGGAAAACAATCTCCGACAAATCACGAGCATTGTATTTCCCCTTTGTAAGACATTTATGTGAAAAGTAAGTCTGCTGAAACTTCCATTTTGTGGAAATGAAACCATCAAAAAATTCCCTTCCAAGAAAAGTTTAGGACTACGAGTCCTTATCAGAAGAGTAAAATACTGTGACAAAAGCATTTTAGAACATGGGATGTTGGAACTTGCGTAGCAAATACTACATAAAGAAATTATATTCTAAGTTCTGGACAGATAAAACTGGACAAATGGAAGCTCCTGGATGACGAGGATCTGTGGTAAATTGCACAGATCTGAAAAAATACTTTTGGTAAACCCCTGTAACGTAAGGTTTAAAGCCATCGGTGTGGCTGCTATAGAGGATATTTGATGTCACTACAGCAGGCCTTCTGGACTGAAATTTAATTCCTCAGCTGATACCTACCCTGGCAAAAGAAATGGAGTATCAGAACAGATTCAAGACACAGAATAGTTTTGGACTTACCACTTTGGACTACAAGGGTGCTTCTCCTCAGAAGGAACCTTTCTGGATCTTTAGCTGGAACTGTGCTAATATGCAAGTTTTCAATCAGAGTATTGCAAACCCTAACACTCCTATATCCCACAATGTCAACAACAAAGATGCTGGGATGGACTTAGAACTTCAGGTTTCTTGAAGCCTAAGGCTTTGCCAAGTACCAGGGCATACTTCACTGAAGTGAAACTATAAACTCACAAACTAACATAACAACAACTACCTCATCAGAATATTCTGGAACAAATGCTTATTTCTAGAGTACACTACAATATACTTATTCTTTATTAATAAACTACGGCTGCTTTCTGCACAGGAACAGGAGAGCAAGAGGCATTAGGAAGGCTCCAGGTGGGGGACACATGTTATGTCAACTGTCACAGAAGAGAGAACTAGGCGTTCCACATTCCTCTAGCAGGAAGACAGACTGCATTCTTCAAAGCATACGTTACCACTAATTGTATATGGCTTCAAGTTTGTGCAGTACAGCTTTAATGTTCTCTTCATTTGCTTTGTTAAAAAGCAAATCATCTGTTAAAAAACAGTAGCGTCTAGTAAAGCATGCATTATTTTGACTGATGCACAATAGCTTTTTTAATTTCAACTAAAAATCATTAAACCATGTTGCAAATCAAGTGAAAAACAAAAACAATTTCTTTAACTTAATTATACTTCTACTTACAAGTATGTAAGCATTCTGTTACAGTAGTAGCATCAATCAGGTATCCATTGCACAGACGACAGGTTATATGGGCATTAATGTCCCAAAGCTTAATCTTTCTCGTTAGCATCTTTGGTGGCTGCAGAAAAGACATATCAAAGCAACACAGCTGTAGTGATCAGGCAAAAGTCATTTGGGAATAAATGATTAACTAGAATTAACCCTAAAGATATGTTTATATAGCTTTAGGCTCTCATATACTGTGTATGCGCATACATGCACACACCACACGATAGCACTAACTTTCAAAGGACTTCACAGAAGTGAAACAATGTAAACCCCACACTATTTTGCAAGTGAAAATTTCAGTAGCATAGAAAACAGTCTTTCTAGCATTGCTATTAATAAGTTCCTTTACCAACCAAGGGACTGGATTTATGATGAACCTCTACTATTCTAGTGATCTAAGTCATTACATTCAGTCTACTAACAGGGAAAAATTCACAAAAATTTGGAGAAAGAAAATCCTCAAAGCAATTTGAGAATTGAAAGGTCAAAATAACTAAGTTTCATTTGGCATAGTAGTTTTAACCACACTTTCAAGTGCTTGCCTGGTGCCCGCATGGTTAAAGCATAATTTTGAAGCTGTGTCTCAATAACAGAGCTGAAAAGTAAACCTTCTGAAATTCCATTTTGTTTAAATTCAAGTTAATTAAAGAACACATTACAAACTAAAACAGTCTCATTGGCAGAACTGCAGTTTGTTTTACTAAGAAACTTGAAGTAGAAAGTTTTTCTCTCTTCAGACCAAGAGATGGCATAACCACCATTAAAAGGAATAAAAATCAGAAATTGAAAATGAAACAGCTCATTTAACTTTTTCCGCAGCAACCCCAATTGCTTTTAGAGAAAACACCACACAAAGTCCATGCCTTGACAAACAGACTGCTACCTTTTAAATACAGCTATACTTTATTTTTCAAAATACATTGGAAAGAAAATTTTACTGTTATAAGTTGACAGCATTCGAGTTAATTAACAAAGCAGGCTAAACTGGCTTACAACCTACTAAATTTGGTTCTTGCATTGCAGAAGCCACCAAATTACACTGTTTTCCATTAAAACGACTTTACTGTCACTGGCTCACAAATACGAGTTCTTATCTAGCTCAGTTTGGAAACCATTTCAGAATTTGAATGGTGACACATTCCCCAAATTTCACATAGAAATATCGTAACAAGGTTGTCTGATCTTTAATTTAAATTTGCCATATTCTTTTTTCTATGTTTAATGAAGTGATACTAAGCAAAAAGACTATCAAAAGGCAAATTTTCACACCAATCTGAACTATACCAGAACCAAAAAAGTACTTTATATTCCATTATAACCTATGGAAAAGCACATCCAACACCCACCCATCAAAATGCATTGTCCTGTACAAAAATGACTAGGAAGAATTCCAGTTCTCATGGTTAAGTAGTAAATGACACAAAAATCAGACTTATTTTATGGTATTTGAGATTTCTAATTAAGCTACTGACTAGTCATTACAGAAGAACGAAAGCTCAACTTGGTTTTGCAGATAGGTCAGAATCTATGCTAGGAAACTACACTACTTTTCTAAATCATATTTTATAGATTTATTTCCAATCAACTGAAAACCAGGTATATATTAAATCCTTGGAAGTCAGTGCATGAGGTCTCCAGCTAAAGAAGCTACTGCGTGAACTAAGAACATGGCATAGGGGAAGAGCTATTCAATACTCTCTAAGAAGCATTCAGGAGATGGCTTAAAACCACCAGTTAAACAGAAAGTCAACACATTGGAAAACATAATTCATGACAGGCAAAAGAGAAATTAAACTACAAGAATACTTAAAAGCCAATATCAATAAAACTCTAGTTACTTGCCTAGGCAGGAATTCAGCAAAAAGGTATTCAGGATCACCACAGACCAAATCCAAGCACTAATAAGGCTGAAGAGCCAAAGATATGGTGAAAACTGAAGCAAAGAAATTACTTATTTTGTAGAAAATGCACGACAATTTTTCCCCACTACAGTAGAGACAAGCACTGCCAATAGAAAAAAAAACGTGCAACAAACAAAAAACAGTTCAGATGGGGTATAATATGAGAACAATGAATGAATCATACAATGAAGAAGGTACAAATGGAATAAAGCCCATTGTACCAGAAAAAGAGAATAGCAAAGATAATATACATTTCACTGACTGAATGGGAAACAAAAATCATACTTTTTGGCAATGGAAAAATACATGTCTTCTAGAATATCCAGAGCAAGCCTGCCAAATCAACCTTATGAAAATTTTACACACCTTTCAAGAATGACAAAAACCCCCTCTCATTAGATGTTTAAAGAACAGAAACTTGGAACAATGGTAATAACTAGCAGAATCTGAACAGGTTTTTTTCAGGGCATTAGACTCCTCAATTTCAAAAGAAGACAAAACCTACAATAGGAGATTTCTCCCAAAGGCCTGGCACAGACTGCTATCTTGCAGCTGCTAAAACAAGAGAATGATCTCTTCTCTGCATATGCAGAGGCCCAGACACAGTAGCTTCAACACAGTTTGAATCTCCAACAAGCAATGCAACTTTTAAGGCCTGTAAGCAAGCTGTCAGTGTCAGACTATGTTAGCCTGCATTGTGTGCCATTGAGACCTGTGTTCTCCAGTCTCAGAAAAAAGAAGAAAATTTGAATGCCCCTCTTATTTTTCAAAACAGTTAACCTGTAACAATAGAAGGCCTTATTAAATTTTAAAAAGGGCGGGGAGGGTGGGCCGGGGGCAAAAAAAATAAAAAAGCCAGACCACTTCATGTCTATTTAGAAAGGAGGGGAGAAACTAGTAATAAAATGGCAAATTACCAAGATGTCATTTCAGTTACATTTAAAGACTCAGCCT